AAGGCTTGCCTGGAGTTTGGAAGTATCTCTGAACACTGCAGTACTTCAATCTGAAGACTGTCTAGAGTGGGTAATTCCTCAGGGCTCTGACATGCCTGGAGGTTTGGGGTTGCTTTTAAGCTTTTATTTTTTCCCTCCAGGAAATGGCTTTTTTTTTTTTTTTTTCCCTGAATTTTAAATGGCTGGCAGAAACACTAGCAGGAAATATGATGCCAGAATGCCAGAGGTAAGCTGTGTTCATGTAAACTAATATAGCAGAGTTAAACAATATATTTAATGGTTTTAAATACTTTGGTTTCTATTGTAAATATGATAGGATTTGAAATTGTAAATAGATGGTTCAGTGACTCCATTTAGCACTTTCCAGAGATAAAGCTGAGGATGATCCTCAGTGGATGACGTACTATTGATTTGTAAATGGATGCTGTCACTAAAGCACACATTAGTCTGACAGGGTCAAAGAAGAATGTCAGGCTTAATAGACTTTTATTACATAAACACTAAAATCAAAGCTTTTAATGGTGGTCTCTTGAGCTAATAAAATGGTAGAGGATTTTAGATTCCCTAGGTGTCTACGCTGTAGGGATTAAATAGAATAGCTTGACTAATGTGTGTTACTGGTGACATCTTAAGAAAATAAAATGGAATCATCACTTTGCATCTGTCCAACTGTTTGTGTTTTAGACACCTAGTAAAGCCTGGAACCGGGCTGGAAGTGCCTGGCAACAGAAGTGTTTGTAGGTGTCCTGTTGTGTGCTGAAGAGACTGGTTGAATGGTTTTGTTCCACATCTAGGAGAAGCTTTCCGAAGCTGGTGTGAGTTCAGGGCAAAGTTTTCTACTTTGCATGAGAGTCCTCCTGATATCCTAATCCAGCATAAGCTCTTATTGCAGCAAAACGGGATTTCTCTAAAATGCAGAACTTGTGGTGCTAGCCTGTCACTGTTGGGCCTTTTTTCTTTAAGTCATGCTCATATCCGTATGTTTGGTATTAATGCAAACCCTGCTGACCAGAAACAAGGTCTGGTGACTTTGTATGTAGTCATGGTATAAGTTTTTGGGTTTGTTTGTAGCTTTTGTATTACAGAAACTAAATCTGCGTGTCCTAGAACAACCTTTCTATCTTAAAGAACAGATTCTTAGCTTTTAAGGAAATGTATAATGACTGCACAGGTGAAATACTATCGTATCCCAAGTGATTAATTTAACACAGCCAAAGGGTGATGTGTGCGGTCTCTGCACAGCATTAAGGATGTACGAATTAAGGCACAGAAGTCTTAATGTGTGTTGCTTTGAGGCTTTTGAAGGTTCTGCCTTGGAGATGCAGTGGTTTCCTGGGGCTGGCTGGGATGTCTCTTGTACTTCTGGAATTCCTGTTTTGGTGAAGAGGACTCTGGTCATGTAAATCAGTACAGCTGCCTTAAATATCCTTAATGGCTGCAAATGCATGGTGGGTTTTTTTATCAGGAACTGTACTGATAGTGATGTTTCAGCTGTACTGAAAATCCTGTGTCTGGGAGGCTGAGCACCTGCCCCAACTGCAGCACTGGCTGTGTGTGCTGGTGGCAGCTGTGGTTCCCCTGTGCAGCTCCTGGGTCACCTCAACATGGCTGTGGTCGCTGCTCCCCAGGATCTTCACTGAGCGGGAGCTCAGCTTTTCTCTGGTCTTGATCTCTGCAGTGCTTTTAGGTATCTTAGTATCTCTTAATTACTGCTGTGCTTTGTAATTTGTATTGTTAGGAAGGGAGTAAGAGGTAGCTCGTGTCCACCTAGTGCCTTTCCAGCACTTCAGTGTGCAGACACGGGTGTTCTCTCAGCCTGTGTGTGTGGTGCAGTGCTCACAGCAGCTACAGTTTAATTCGGGGATTATTTCTGGGACTGGGGGTTGAACTGATGGACAACTGGCTTAATGCTTGGAAAACGTTTCGTTGCTGTATAACCTGTCTCTTTAATTGCAGTGCAGCTGATTTTCGTGCTGGGTGGGGAGAACTTCTCTGGCTGCTGTTATTTGCATGACAGGGAGAAAATGCCTGATAATACTAAAGATGTGTTTGTTCATTTTCACACTGGTCTATTGCATACGTACCCTTGTAACAAGTATGCGTGTGCCCCTTTCTAACAAATCAGTTCAGGCAGTGAAGCACGACTGCTGTCCTGCAGCTTCTCTGCTAGGGAAGTCTCTAGAATGGAGTACTGTGTACCTGAAGAGGAGTTTAAAGCAGCGCTGGACTTGAGAAAGGAACGGCTAAACTCCTTCTAACTTGGTGCAGAAGGAAAAGACATCCTGGTGTCACTCACCACGGTTAAGACTTCTCCTCCAGTAGCCCTGCTGGCCTGTGTCTGAAGGGGCAGGGGAGCACCAGGCGTGTTGGAACCACCAGAAGACCTTTGGGAACTTCCACTGGAAGCCAGGAGTGGAGTAACTGATCTGAAAGGTGAGCTGTATTATGTGCTAAGTGATGGTTTTGATTCAAGAAAAGGTTTCTGTGAAGGTTTCTATTGTACTGGCCTGTGGTGTAGCTACTCAAATACTGTGAATGTTCATTCTCCTGCTGCTCTTAGTTCTCTTTTCTTGGGAAGGCTGAAAGTCTTCACATTCAGTATTTGTGATATTTAATGAAGCAGGGACTCCTGTGGAACAAAAAATGGGCCTAGAATTTGGACTGAATGCATTGGAGCAGTGAGACAGGGAGCCAGAAGCAGAGCACGGAACTGCAGTGTTCCTTTTTAGTTACCTTGATCGTTATTCGGGTACAGATTTCCTAAGCTGCTTAACTGAAGGCCTTGCGTGGAAATTCAATCCCTTCTAATTGTGGGATGCTCTGTCATTTCAGCAGGGAAAGCTTAATTCTGATGGTGTATGAACACCAAGTTACCGTGGGGTTGGACAGGGAATGCATGCAGGAAATTGATGGCCATACGGAATAGCTGTAACCATCTCCCAGCAATTCAGAGATGTGGTACAATTGTTTGTCTGATTGTTGCTGGGGTTTAGAAAAGACCACAATTAAAGGAAAAGCAATAACAAGAAAGGAGCTGAAATAATGATTATTTGAGCAAGTTTTGTTTCTTTGAGGGCAGTCTGGATTTCTTAGTGAAGCCCATGTTAATAGCAGTTTACTTATGAGAAAATAATTGTATATATTTAAAGAATGCTGAATTTATTTCTAGTTCAAAATTAAGAAATGGCATAATCTTTTTTTTTTTTTTTTTTAGATTGAAAAAGGGAAGAGAAGAATAACAGATCACCTGTAAGCAGTTCATGCTCAAAAAGGAGCTGTTCCAGGAGCAAGGCAGGCACACAGCACCCAAACCGCACTTTGGTGCCAAATGCTTTTCTCCAGCACTTAGCTGTTATCTTTCCTATTACAGCTGTCAGTCATTTCATGAAAAACGGACTGAAAATGTTGCAGTCTCTGTCAATACTTGGCTGAAGTAACACTTTAAAAACACTCAGAAATGTAATGCTTACAGTTCTGATTTCTGTAAAGAATATTTCAGAAAGAGAAATGGAAGTTACGCTAGCAGGAAGCATTTTGAAACTACGACTTAAACTGTGCAAGAATAATTTTTTTTTGAGTGAGCAGTTAATGCAACATCACTCTGTTACCTGACACCCCAGTGCTAATGTCTGACTGAGCTGCTTGTGATTCAGTACATGGTGTGCCTGGGAGCACCCAGCCTCGTGCTATTTTGGTGTCTGTGCCGTCGGCGCAGCCTTTGACAGATGCACACTGGGGGAAGCTTTGCCCGTATGAAGCTTTCTTCACACAAGCCTTATTATGAGTTCTTTATTGAAAAATACACTTGCAATATTTTCATACAAATTAATGTAAATGGTACAGAATAACAAGAATTGTCTGACAAGTTCATAAATATTTTTACAGGAACATCTACACCACTGCTTGACTTCAGGCCTTACACAGGTAAGAACAAAAGACGCCTTTATTTTACCTTAACTGATTTTATTGTGGAATTAAGTCCTAAATCTTCCCGTTATTCAAAGGAGCGGGGATAAATGAGAACACTGAGCTTTCAAGTTCTGCTTCCTTATAAAACCTTCTAGCATCTGTGTGTGCTAAATTTTACAAGAACAACAACATTGTCCCCAGTTGTCCTTAAAGATGAATAAGCTGGCATAGGACACTAATTATCAGGAAAGGTCTGAGCATACCAACAAGGTTGGTATTTTAGAATTAATTTAAATGAAAACAATTAGTAGATCTAATTAATATATGCATTGCTTTCTTATACCATTAGCAGGAGAGAGATTTCTCCCAGGCAGCCTGATTCTGTCCATTAAAAAAACCAAACCCCTCTCTGTCCTTTAAAACCACTCCAAAAGCACAGTGTGCATCTTTAAGAGATCGGGGCCACCTTCCTTCTACTGAGGAAGTGAGGGCCGATTCCTGACTCTCAAGCAGAGCAATCTGAAGACACAACGCAAGCGTATAAAATTTCTTGACCAAAGCCCACATCCCTGACCTCCTGCATTTGTTACTGCATGCATGTAATGTTAAAATGAATTCTTAATGCCGTTTGCTGAAGGAGAGCTGTGGGATGTCAATTTGGAAATAAATACAAAAATTGGATTGCTTCCATTAAGAAAAATGGCTGAAGTCAGCCTTGAAAAAGATATTCACATTTAGAAAGTGCCATTGCAAATATACAGCAAAACTAATCTGTATTAAAACCAATGCTTCACAGCCCTATCAAAAGTGCCACCTTTTGAACACGAGTTCACTTTAAAACATTGCACAGCTAACAACAGTGTGTAAGTGGAGTTAGCTACTTCTATACAACAGGGTGCCCAGATGTTAAAGCAAAACAGCGTGGTGGATTTGGTGGCACACACAGCATCCCGGATACATACAGAATCCATACAGGGAGCTTCCTTCAGCTCTCAAAAAGCTTATTCCTATCTTCCCTTTCCAAGCAGAAAAGGCTGGACATTGCTAGACTATTACTTATAAATGATTATTTTTATGGCAGTCATTAATGCTTATTTTTTCCTTTTTTTTTTTTTTTCCCCAGAACGACACGTTTGGCTACGAGCACCTTGGTACAATGCTCCCATGTTTGATACATATGCAACTTCCTATTACAAAGCTGAAAATGGTCAAGCATTGATGAAAACACTGTAAGTAGACTGGTTGAGCAAATAGATGCAAATACCTGCTGCTAGGTAGAAAGCTGTGCGAGGGACGCGTTCTCCGAGCAATAAAAAGCTTTGAACTGCCTTGTGCAGCCAAAGGCTGCAGGTAGGTCACCTGCCTTCCGACCAGCTTCACGACAGGCAGAGTGGAGCTGCAGAGTTCAGAACGCATCCTCCCCGTCCCTGGCACTGGGGAAGCAGAGGCTCGGCACAGCCCAGCAGGGACTGGTCACCACGGGCTGGCAGGAGCATCCCGATGCCTGCACGGCTTTGTGAGTCCATGGCATGCTCTGAGCTGCCAGCAGCAGAGAGGGCCTACCTGTGCTGAGCCCCTGCGCTCAGTGGGACCCTCGGTCGTTGGCTACGTCTTGCAGTCGGCGTAACAGAGCAGTGTGGTTTTCCTGACAGATTCTCTTAGCTGGTGCTTCACTATCATCTTCTAAGAGAATGCCTCTCTTCTTGGTTGGGGTTTCTCCTGTTCTAATCATGCTGTTAATTTCCTTTAGCCTCTGGGGAGAGGTGGAAAGAAAAAATTCTCATTATTGTGGCAACAAAAAAAGCAGTGTTTTTGCTAGTCCCATTACTCTAGGCTTACAAATGCCTCAGTTTTGGAGCTTTCTGTAACAAACTAACCCTTTTAACCTCTGTGCTGGTCCCATTACTGTATTCCAGAGTCTTTCTCAAGCAAGCCTTTTGTGTAAGTTTTTTGATGCTCTGCAGGTGCACGTGGAGCAGAAAGGCCTTCCAGCTGTAGTTATGGCATGTTATCTTACACCATAGGTGCAGAATTCCTATCCTGAATGAAGGTGCTGCTTGGAGAAGGCTTCTGCTTCTGGAGATGACCTGACAGGATTCAGCCTGTTCCATGTTCTCTTGGTAAGTCTTTTTGTGCTAAGAGACATTTTTCCTCACTAAGTAGATAAGAGGGAATGACTGTGGTTCATGTTTGAGTCTCCATGCCAAACACCCCATCCTGTGGTGTCACTGATGTACGTGCACTGTTACAGAGGGCAGCTTTATAAAGTACACAAGTGCCTTGGATACCTCATTGCTCTCCAGCTTCTTAGATGTGTATAGACTGACAATCTGGAGACAATCTGGTGACAGAGTACATCTTCAACAACGTACACTAGGAAGGAGTGTTGTGCAGTATTCTCTACCATCATGTCCCAATGTAAATGACAGAATTCAGGATTTATAAAACCAAACTAACCCCCTTTAGTCTTACCTTAGATGGGCTGCTGCTGAAATAATAGAATATTTTCTCTCGATGAGAGAGAGCAGACACGTTTTTGTGGGGTGAGATGTAGACCGGGTGGTTCTGAGTCAGCTGTACTCTGCGAGGAGAGCTAATTCTCACAAAGGGGTAGGGCGAGAGCGGAGGGGAGTCCGTCTGCTCAGGAGGAAAAAAAAACACTCAGCTGCTACGTAATCTCGGTAAGGTATCTACAGTAAGGCTGTTGTAAGCTGGTCATTTTTAGCACAGTTCAGATGTTTTTCTCACAGCCTTCCCTAGGACACAGCAGGATTTGTTGTACATCTAGGAAATATTAGTATTTTACTTTTTAACTGAGGCTGGTGGATGACATTCATTGGGGCCGTGTATTTCAGCGAGAGGAAGTAACAAATAGGCAGCAAAAGGGTTTAATCTTTCAGCACCAGATTATATACTTGAACTGGAATTTTTGTCATGAATACTCTTGCTTTCCTTAAGATGAGGTTAGCTAAGGGTACTCTACTGCACGCAGAGTAAAATAAGATCTATTTACTAACAGAAGCACAGTGCTATCTCACCCCATTTGAAGTGTACTTCAGGGCAAATTCCTTGATCTGCTCAATGTAGATGCTGTTGTAGAACTGTATGAGGTCTCCTCGCTCTTCCTCCTCAGTGTCGCTGTTTGCTCCGGTCAGGCGGGTGGGAGTAGGAGGAGCACTGCTGGGGTGGGGCACAGGCAGGGTGCTGCTGGAGCGCATCACGGGGCTGGAGTCTCTGCTGCCTGAGGAGAGAAGCACACACTCCTCAATCCCCAGCACAGGCGCCTGCCCTCAGTGCTGGCGATCCTGCTCAGCACCCTCCCTTACAGCAGACCAGCAAAATGCTGAGTATTGCTACAGGAAAACTTCATTTCTAACAGCTTAGTGCATGAGCTGATTTTTTTCTGCAGAAGCTGAGCTAAAGTTCCATTTCTCAGGCATTTCCCCTGTAATTTGCCATGTTGCCAGCTGGCCCAACTTCAATTGAGGAACGTCAGTCTTTCTTTCGGCAAATGGTAGCAATATTTGCCTTGGTGGTACTTTTGCTTTTGTAATGTGGGAATTTGTGGAATATGTTATTTTTGTCCCTCCCCTCCTTGCCCCCTTTCTGTGACAGAAAACACTAAAACGTATGGTTGTACTGTCAAGTATTTGAAAGCCGGTTGTAAGAATATGCATGCTCACTTTTACTTGCTTTTTTATGCAAAATTCAGTCAAGGAAAAATGTGTTAATTCAGGTATTGAGGCTAGAATCTTTGTCCGCACTCCAGAGACATGAGATGTGCTACACCAGATGCTGGCAGGGGCTGCTGGTGGTTTATCTATGAAGCCAGCCAGCTGCTGCCTCTCTGCTAAACTATTAAAAGACACTGCTGTGGACATGCTACTTTCACTCTACATCATGCTCTCTAGTGTCCAAACTTACCTGAGGAGTACACTTAAGGTAAACACACGCAGTGACAGATTCAAAACTGCACTGTCACAGCAGGTGCAATGCTAAGCTTCACTTTGCAAAACAACTCTTGCACGTTGTTGGTACGTTCTTAAGTGCAGCTAAGTTTACCTAAGAAGGAACTGTTTGGTGTGGGGGGTGACACAAAATCCAACTTGTACCCTAACTACACTGTTCTGAGAACAGGATTAAAAATGAACATCTGGAATTTGGAAACACTCACTTCTTTCTTTACTTCTCTCCTTACTTCTGTCTGTAGGGGAGTTCTGCTGGCTGCTGCTGTCACTGCTGCCAGACTGGCGGCGGCGTCTCCTGCCTTTTATCAGGACACTCCGGTACACCTGCAGGGAGACAAGAGCAGCACAGCACCTGTGAGTGATGCGCAGTTGCGCAGTCTGGAAGCAACTGTCTGCACCATACATCTGCTTTTAGAACACTATTTGACATCACATTGTTTTCTATATGGGAAAATGCAGGCAGCTTCCTACCTGTCATCCAGTAGGTACTGTTGATGGAGGTTGTAAGTGAAGATAAGTTAAATTACAGGTACAGAAAAAGCTTTCAGTAGTGCAAGATTTGGGTGCGACTGCTATTTTTAAGGACAGTGGCTCTGAGAATGCATCATTTAATATTTATTAGATGATGTCATTTATTAAGTGCCTCAGTTCTGCTTTGGGAACGAGGAGATTTCTAACTGTACTTACGTGACTCTTGGCTTGCGGTTGTGTCCGGTAGCAGCGCATAATGTTCTGGAACGACCTGTCTTCCTTTGTAACCTAAGAATAGTGAGTATTAGACCTCCTCTGGTAGCTTTTGGTTGTTTTCTTCCCCCACCGTTTGGTTTGCTGAGGTTGTTTTTGGGGGTTGTTAGAGCAATCTCTGGACTACCAAGCCTTAGTAAACGTGTGTTTTTGTTCAGCTTACCTTGGCCATTACGTAGATGGCGCACATCAGCAGCTGATCCAGATGCCTGTCCATCATGATTTCAGGGCAGTGCATCAGGGAATACTCAAAACACGTCCAGACTTTTTTCCGCAGCTCATCAGATATATCCAGCTTGACAGAGAGATCCCGCAGACGAACACTTGCTAAATGATACACCTGATGGAGGAGAGACAGTGCAGGGACCACGTCAGTGGTGCTTCTTATCCAGGTTAGAGCGCAGTTTGGACATGTGTGCTCTGTGAAACTCATGCAGACGATAAGCTAATGACAAATACTGAAACTCTCTTCTTCTGCTTACAAGAAACAGACAGTTATTATACTGGTACTAATGCTAAAAAAGCATTTGTTTGTGAATTCTGCAATTCTCCAGATTATTTCTTCAAGATACTCTTGAAGTACAAAAACAGCACCTATAGAAACCTCTGTATTGAATAAACAAGAGTATTTCAAAAGTGAATTTCTTTCTTTAAGAGCCTTAAAGAAGATGGACACATTTAAGCAGCTGCTAGCCACAGCTGTAAATCTACTTCTCAGCTAGTGACAGCTGTACTGTTCAGCTACTCTGACAGTGAGAAATTTCTGGACCGGAAACCAACCCTTCAGGTATGCATCTGAACAGACAAAACATGTCAGCTTGGAAACTAAATATTCTCTTATTAATATTAGAAGTAAGGAAATAATATTTCAGCATCACAGAAGAGCTACCAAAATACAAACTAAGCAGGCTAAAAAGTACCTTTCTAAAGAAGAGGGAAAGCGAGCCCATCTTCCGGGAGCGAGCGGCTGTGGCAGTGAGGTGCTGGGCTGGCCTTGGCTCCCCAGAGGTGATGTGCTGAACAGTGACCTGTCCTGGGAGCTGCAGCGTTGCCCCTGACACCTGAGTGCTCAGAGTGCCTGTGAGAGCCTGGGCACTGAGGGGCTGAATGGAGCCAGAGACAGCTTGAGGCTGGGCCCCTACATTTACCTGCACTGGGAAGAAAGTTATTCCTCCATTTTCATTGGCGATACCTGTAATTTAAGGAAGAGTTTGACATAAGAGCAAGGTGGGGTGGTTTGTTTAGTGTGGATGGTGTTTCCTGTTAGAGCTTTTTCTTAATAGTTCAGTAACACTTAAATTAGTTGCTTATAGTTTGTAGCATACTATAGAGACAAAATGTTTTATGAAAGTACTTGGAACTTCTTATCATAAGGAGACAGGAAAATAACGGAATTGAGCTGATCTTTAACTGTAATGTCACTTTCTTCCAGTTGAGGAAGCAAAGGTCACTGCAATAACCAAGTCGCTAATCCACAGTCAGTGAACATCTTTGTGCTCTATGTCTCTAAATTCCACTGATACAGTTCTTCCCCACTATAAATTCTTAAGCCTGCTTTTCTGCTCTGGGTGTGCTGTTTTCCCCCCATCCCCTGACTGTATACTAACATCTGGATAGAAATTGGCCTCATCTGACAGCAGCTCTTCTCTTACCTTGTACAGGAATGGTCACAGTTTGCCCATTATTGGCTGTTACGGTGGCGGTTGCTACTGTAACCAATGTCTGGCCAGGCACTGGAGTTACTGACACTGCTTCAGGATTCACGTTCTGCACAGGCACCGTATTTACCATGGGCTGCTGGGAAACTCTGACTGGAGTTCCATTGTCTGAGGTGTTATCGTTATCAACAAACAACCTTCTCCTGGTAGGGTGGGCTGTAGGAGAGCTGTATCTGTCATACAGGGTAGTAGGAGAAGATGAAATGCCTGGGGATTTAAAAAAAACAAAATCTTATCGTAAAATCCCTTATAATACAAATAGATTAAAAAAATGTGATGAGACCCCAAATGTGACAACTGGAAGCATTTAAAATTAATGTCTACATCTATGGCTTACAGATTATGAGATGACTTGATCTCAAATAACACGGTGCTGAATATCTTTTCCTCAGAGACTGTATTATGCTTTAGTTCCCCAGAAAAAGCCTGAAGCCTCACAGAACTAAACATACAGTGGAGCTTCTAATCTGGTGTAACAAAAAAGCTGCTCAGGTGCTACTGATCAGAACAGATGTACTTATTTAAACACATACATGTGTGTACACAGATGTTGTTTGTAGATATAAGCTCCTGAAACCAGTGACACAGGACTGTTTTGATCTGAAATAACGAATGTTTCTGTCTTAGACAACTGATGTGACTATGCAAGTTACAACAGAAATATCATTTACAAGTGCACAATTCATGCACAATTGTACATAAACCATTAGAGTAGCTTCCTTCTGCACGCCGTTCAGATTTGTAAATTCAGGGCATGGTGTAAGAGTGACAAATACACTGTGCTTAAAAAACAGCTCACCTTTTCCCAGGCCTCCGGTTTCAGCTCGGACCTCGTTTAGTCGTCTTGGTGTCAGTGGAGAACCCACAACACTGTTGGCAGCAGATCTCTCAAAATACTGAGGTGGCATGACCTGAAATAGTTGTACTTTTATTAGTGTGTCTGTGGCACAAATGATTTTTAGAACTACCAGTCTATAAATGCTGAACAGTGAAACTATACCGAGGAAAAGAAAAATGAAGAACATTGAAAAATTACTGTAAACTTAACTTAAAAACTTCGTAATGATTGTACTACTCTAGAAAATACAATCCTGCAATAATCATTATGTGACTGTAATTAAGAGTCTGTTCTTAACCAGACTCCTGTAGCAGTCTTTTCAAGTGTGACTGTTTCATACCTCCTCTGTGTTCATTATTCACTGTGCTCCTACTCTAAGCAAATACGGGGTGAGAATCACATCAGCTGGATGCCTGCATTTGGACATCTCTGCAGTGGTAACAGGTCACACACAAACACATGCAGCTCTTTCTCTGCCCCGCTTAGCTTGTAGGGAGAAACTGAACTCTGGGCATACAATGCTGATGTCCACTCTCCACCATTCTGTTTGAACAGACGTGTTAGGGGTACAGAGACATGCTCACCTCTTCACAGCTAGGAACTTTGTTGTCGTTATCTCTGATTCTGTCCCACAGTATGGACTCCTGTTTCCAGGCCATGCTTTCCAAGATCTGTTCTTCAATATGATTAAGGTGTTTTACAACTTCCCGACAAAGGCCATCTTCTGCTCTAATGAAAACCTCAATTACCTGTAATGCAGAGAGCAATGAAGTCCTTGTGGTACTGAATAAACCAGTGACTGAGTATAATATACTTGTTTTCATATATTTCTTCTTACAGTGAAATTAGATCCTAAATTTTCAAGGAAGAGACTAGTACAATTATTAGACTGTGTCAGTATGGTTCAATTGTCTGGTGGGCTGCAAGTTTATCAGAAGACAGGTACGTGTATCTTCCCACAGCAGCAGTGAATGCAGAACAGCTGCAGCAGCAGCTCAGGATCCCTGGTCATTAGCTCAAGATAAATGACAATCCTTAGTCACTTGCACACTGCTCCTATGTTAAACTGATTACCAGTAGTCTGATCTTTAAATGCCCAAACCAGCTGTAAAATACTTTCAAGACAAAAAGGGGCAATGCTAAGAATGAAAAGTTAATACACATTTAGGTAAAGAGATTATTTAATATAAGCCAAGAGTACACAGGACTTGATCAACATTTCTAGCTCTTACTTTACCTTATAGAAGTGATAAACTGGAATGTCAAATATTTCAGTGATGAAGGGAAAGCTTCCAGGTAACTTGTACGTGAAGGTGACAATCTCAAGGCAACACGCCAGCAGGGAGCGATGAAACACATCTTGCTCCAGTACTGCCTGCAAGAGAGTTGCCCAATTTAATGCTTCATTTACAGAGTAACAATAGAACTGCATGATGTGTTCTGCCTCAACAGTGAGATTAGAAAGTTTTTAACTAGACATTTGCTTTTGTATATGATGGAACAGAATCCAAATTAAGACATCCTTATTCTTGTAAATTTTATATATCCTTTTTGTTCGCAAAGGTGAATAATTTCTTAGACAGCTTTTCTTCCATTCAGGAATGCCTTCCAACTACTCAAGAGATTTACTCATCTAAAATAGCATTATCCTGTCCTATAGATATTTCCTTTGTTGCAGATCCAACTTTAAACACAAGGTGCAATTGGAGGAGGTGTCCTTACAGATAAGTCTGCGTCTCCCAGTCTCCTCCTCTCTTGCTCAATCACCAGCTCCAAAACCTTGTAGTAGAGAACCTCAGCACGACGAAAATGCTTGCTGGCCACATCTGCAGGAATTTTAAACAGAAATAATACTGTGAATTGTGATAAAAGAATCATTATTTATCATAATCTACAGAGTTAAAACAACAGCTTATTTACTTGTGTGGATTTCTGGCAGCTGTGGCTATGCTGCTTTCAGGACTAAACGGGACTCATATTCAAGGGTTAATGTTAGCCATGGAATCTCTCTACTGCACTGAAGCGTGACTGCAGAGCACAGCAGCTTAGTACTGAACTCAGAACTTGGTAAAAAAAAAAACACCATGTGTAAGAACAACCCTTATTACTGCTAAAATAAAAAGTATTTCAAGATCAGAAAATACAGTGTTTGGAAAAACCTCTGTGGGGATCCAAGCACTCTGCAAGACAAAGTGAACAACTGTGTTGATGAGCACAGATACAAAGTACAAAGCACCTATTCTTAAAAAAATTTAATCACTTTTTTTTGACAGAAATGCACACTTAGATTTGAGAGAAGAAAAACAGTTCTGAGTGCTTTTCTTTCCTCCCTTCTGTAGAAAATAAGAATATCAAATTTCAGTAATTTATGCCAAGTATGATTATGAAAGTTGCTCTATCTCAAGACTAGCAGGAAAAGACAAGAAATAGAAAAGACGCTTGTGCAAAAGCACAGTGTCTACATAAGACAATGTTTACTTAGAAGAGATCAGTATTTTTAAATGTACATAAATTCCAATTTATGTAAGTAAAATGTTTCCCACCTTTGGTCAAATTACTGAATTCTTCTTCAGACTGCATGCTCTGGCAGTATACTTCACACATCTCTTTTACTCTGCTTGCAATAGACTGTGAAGGATCTCTGGAACATGCCCTGAAAATACAAGCTATTTCAGTGTCCTACTTCTGCTAAGACAAATACACACACACTCACACACACACACACACAAAAGAAACCACCAACAAAAAGACCTACAATACAATTAAAGCATGAAGCTGCGAAATATCTTTGATAGATAGCAACGCAAACACACCCACACAAGCCTTGCTGCACATGTACTACAAGACAGCCACAGCATATTATACTTTAGTGAGTGTCAACTCTTCTTAAGAGTTCAATACTAAACACATTCCATGCGATATAACAAGTGCTTTGTAACATACTGTACCTGAGCCAAAGACTTCTGTACACGGAGAAAAAGAAATTATTTTTATCTCCTACAGAATAGAGTGAGTTGCCAGGTAGTGAAGCTGGCTAATTAATAAGAAAAATCTTGAAACAGTTGCATTTGCATTTTGCTGTTAGGGAAGCTCAGAATGGTGGGTTGAGAACGCTGTGTGTTCTTACAGCTGTCAATCTCTCAAGGATCGTGTAGAAATAAAGACAAGAGTCTCTCCGAAGTTAAATGTCCCTCTGGCTCCTATTTCACTTCAGACTTCCAGAACTTAAATCACACTATTCAACAATAACATTTGTTATTATAATTTCACCTTTAAATGAGTTTTTTTGTTAGCTACGCATCAAGCTTACCTGAAGATTTGCTCCAGATTTTCACTGGGGGCATTTTTCAGCCCTGCCAGCATGGTGTGAAGGCGGCTCAAGCTGTAGGTCGCAATGGAAACAGGTGTCACATAGGGGTTGCTCTCCTTCACGTACCTGCGGCCAGTGAGGGGGGTCGTCATCCGAAGGGATTTAGACTAAAAAGGAAAAAAAAGCTTCTGTCTGTACATTATTACAAAACGTAGAGCTTCTGAGAGACCTAGAGGTGCCAGGTGCTAGCACTGTTTCTTAACTGGTTATAATATATATCTGGGAAAAGGGAGCAGGAATCAAACAACCCAAACCAGTTCACTCTCAGTAACAGCCAGCAGCCACAGGTCTATTTGTCACCTGGATGTTGGTGTCAAATACTCATGTAGAAGTGTCTGAGCAGTGACAAAATGACCTCACACTGAAACACCAGAACTGGACAACTCCTTCTCCACAAAACCAGCAAGGGACCGTGCCAGACTCACTCTGTCAAAGTGTTGCTGTAAATTATGCTTCACTTGTACTCGCTCAGCTGTTTCCACTCCTGAGGGTGTATTTAAGCACCGTGTGAGAGTTCCAATTTCTTCATCTGCATCTTCCCCGAGAAATATTCGCTCATCGAGATTTCCTACTGACAAGACATACTCCTCATAGGCCTTGTTGATGGCTTTGCTATAGAGGAAAAGAGAGAGAAAACCCCTTTAATTAGTGCTTTCTTTACCTGCTTTCTGACTGAACACACCTCTGCCCTGTCAGAAGGCTGCCTCAGAATGAACTTCAGCCTCAGTTAAAACCTACAACACCTTAAACATGACAGTGGCATTATTCTACCTTTGTAATTGATGGCCTGTCATTTCATATGGCAACAGGAGGAATGCAATACAATGCAGAGAACTGGTGGCATTTGGCTGGAAACTCCTCAGAACTTATGCAGCATCACATTGCCATACACTGCACTTGCCATTTCTGTACCATTTAAATGCACAGCTCAGTACCTCTAGGCTTAAAAAGCACGAAACATTACCACACTTGGTTCTTCCCTCCTCCCTGCCCCCACTCAGTGTGCCCCACAGCCTTTTCTTCCAAACACTTTACATTACATAGAAAAAAAACATGGAAACATAAACAGAAGCAGACATTAAGCAATGCTATATTGAAAATGCCTCAGCCACCAAATAGCTGAAACACCTTTTAGTATAATATATGAACAGCAATAGGTATATAAAGTAATAGTGGTAAGACACAGGTAATAACCCAAAGGGATACAGATGCAGACCAAAGCACAGGCTGACTCACAAGCTATCTCCAAAGTTTCCAGGATCTAGAAATCCAGTCAGATTTTCATCTTTTCCTTTTAAAAGCTGTACGAGCAAAGAGAGGACATTTCAGTTGTTAAAGTTCTGAAGATAATAAGGAGGGAAACATTTTTCTGCATCCTGAATGCACTGACCAACCTTCTTGTCAAAAAGTTTCCGGATGTATGGCTTCCAAAAATGCTCCTTTATGCCTTTTGCTTCTAAAACCAATCCGTAATGTAATGAACACAGCTTTTCAATGATGCAGGGAGGATCAGATGATGCTTTATAGTCCTTACTATGAAAGTCTTCAGGCAGACCTATAATTACAAATAGAGTAATGTTTTCTTATATTCTTATATTCATACCTTATATTCATACCTTACTAAATTCAAACTCTTTGCTATGTAGCCTAGGCAGTCTGAAATTAAAACATGAAGTTTGTGTCCTTGAAAGAAACACAGTGTGCCCTCAATGGGATCATCTTATCAAAACTGCCTTTCAAGTGACAAACCTGAAAAGCTGAGATATTCGGTGATAGAAAATATCAGTTCTAGCAGAAAAATGATGAAGCACTTATGAGTGGCAGTATTTATTCAAATAAGTTGGAGATAATGGTCCCTGCTCACATCCAAGCCACCACAAGATAGTGAATACTACAGGATACTGAAAATGAGGCCTAAGCATTGAAAGAGTTACGCCCAGGTTCAGAGGAAGCTTCTCACCATCCACTCATGCGTTCAGTTACCAAGTCAGCCTGTGCTTCCATTCTTTTCATAAGGCACAACCCAAAAGGGAGAGAGAAACAGTCAGGGTGCCTGCTTTGTATCTGAGCACAGGATCTTCCCAAACTGCTGCCTGGGATCTCTACAATGTGACCTGTCCCACAACGACTGGGTCATTACACAGTTTCACTGCCATTAACATATCATTAACAAAATGTCCCCTCTGGAAGTCCTTCAGTGGTATTTCCATAGTTCACTGAGATCTTGACTTAGTATTCTAGTTACAGAGCTCAATTCTGTGTTCCTATGTCACGCTGGTAGAAATAAAACTGCATAGTCAGACAGAGAAAATAATTCCCTCTACTACATATCTCCATATCCATTTCAACTGCCTTAGAAGTTCATGCAGATTTTAGATAAAGACTTCTTTTTTTTTTCCAACATACCTTTAAAATTGGGATTCAGAAGTTCTTTATGGTTAGGGCACTGGAGAGCATTTCCATACACTAGATCCAAAGCACATAACAAGAGATGATAGGAATTGACCAAGTCATCACTGATCATGGGAAAATTACCTTTGGTACAAGAAAGATAAATGAGATTAATTAAAATCAGCATCGATTTGAAATTATTTTACAAAACAAAACTATCCAGACTTGTATTTCCAATCAACAGTGGAGTATTTTAAGCACAGGTTTTGGTGACTAGATTGTCAATATCTGGATAGAAACACAGGAAGTAAATGGACACACAGTTAAAATGAAGCACATATAATTGCTTTGGTTCACATTTACATTCATTTTCCTGATTCCATGTTTGTGAAACAATAATTTCAATGTGGATAATTGAAGCTATTTAAAATAATGAAGCTGAAATGTAATTTGTATTAACTGTACACTTTCATCAGTTCTTTCCACACCATTACATCTTCATGACAGAAATCGAAGTCCTAAACAAATACAACAGCAAAATGTCAATCAATTAATACCTTAACGAAGTGATGCCGTAACAGGATCTCACAAGCATGAAGTCTGGCATGGCAGTAGCTACTGACAGCCAAGTCAAAATAGATCTCATTCTACACAGCCAGTAGTTTCATAAACAATGTGTGAAGTCAGTGACATTCCAAACAACAGTTCAGTGCTCCCTTCCACAGCCAAGCATGAAATAATACAAACCAGTCATATTGATGTAAAAGAGATCTTCTTTGTTAAATTTCTATTTTAAAGAAAGTACAATGTTACAGAGTCTACAAATAAATTCATGAAAGCAGCACACAAGAGCAGCTCTATGGCTATGAAGGTCACTACCTTACTTTGCAGCATGTACCAAACGTACGAAGGAGTCTTGTGCTTTCTGCACTTGTGAAACCAAACACAAGATGCCGAAGCTTGCAGAAAGATCATGGTGACAAGCCTCGACTTGCTGCTGATGTGTGGTTGCCATGATAAGGATTACTGCCAGCCCTCAAAACACAGCAAACAAATGGGGAATATTTCATTCCTCCGGTGGTATACATTCAGTTTGTATTTTTGTACTGCTTTATACACGTCATACACAGTCTTGTACTCTTCATGCATTTACCACTAGTCACTTGTTAATTCTGCAGTCTGTAAGTACTGTAAAAAAACTGTCTTGTAAAACTTGATGGGCTGTTATCAACACTGTGTTCTAGTCCACAAAGTTAATTTGTACGTCTGAAACTGCCTGCCAACCAACAAGCAGGTAATGGTGACCTACTCAAACATACCAAGCAATAACTCAGCAGGAACAAGACCTGCTCAGACCCTCTGCTCCTGTTCAGGAGCAGCATGCAGCCTGTGCAGAAGCAGCAGCTTCCATACAGGACAGCTGTTTGGTACAGCACCTTTTATACTCCTGCAAAGATCCAGGGGTATTGCCAGTAACTTTTCCAAAATGAAGCCTGCTGGCAACCCTCTGCTTTGTGGCGAAAAGAAAGGCTAAGCTGGACAGGACAAAGCTACTGCCAGAAATTCCATACTGAGACAACCTACTGCAGTCTATCCTCAGAAACAACCAGTGAGACACATCACCTGCACTGACTGACCTTGCAATCCCCAAAATCCTTCTCCCAGAAGAACTCTCTGGAAATTACAGATGGGACAGAATACTACCTAACTTATGTTCAAAGAATTCCCAGTGAACTCATCCTACTGTACCAGAATCAATTCCTACTGATGAAAGACTGTAGATTATGCTGTATGGCTGAACAACTGAAGCCTAAAATTTTGAGGGCTTCACTGTCCCTCATGCAAAAGGATTTACTTCTGCTCCCTTCTGTCTTTTTCTCCAATCAGTCATCAAGAAGAAAAATGACTGAAATCCTCTGCTATTTGCATTAGCTTTAAGGGTGCTTTTACAATAAAGGCAATAGATGCATGGCAATATATTGGCTCCTCCCTGCTTTGTTTCCATGGAAGCCTGTTAACACAGCATTTCCACATGTATGTTCCAAGGGAATCTGAGCCTGCAAGACAGCCAGCCACTTACATACCTACTGCCATGTCCAAAAATCAAGAGATTGCTTGTGAAAAGGATGCAGACCTACTTAGTAATGCATATGATTATTCAATACAATTACTGTATGCACATTTTTAAAGGGTGTGTATGAGCAGGGGTAGATCAAAAATCCCAATGCTACCTGTGACAATGCCATGGAAGTACCCTCAGCTTCAGTTTCATGACACATCTTTGCTACGTTACAGAAAAAAATCCATTACATATTATCACCACTGCTGGAAACATACAAGGAATTTAAAGTCATCATCGTCCATAAAACAATACTTTATATTAATTACAGCTGTCTAAATATGAATTCACTAAAACTCTGAGCTAATTGTCCCTTACAGCCTAAATCCCCAAAACATAGGGAACACAGGAGCAGTATTTCAGCTAAAGCTACCGAGGTGCTGGGACACACTGCTTACCTCAGACACGTGGTAAAACACACTGCTGCAGAAACTGAAGTGCATTTGTTCAGGCTGCTCCAAGAAGGCTCTTTCTACTAAGGGCCTGCAGCTATCTCATGTTTACAGACTGATACAGACCAGTTTTTTGTAGTATTCAGCCTCTTTCCAATCTCTTACCTTTTGCATGAACAAACAGCACCCAGCAAAACTGGAAAACTTCGGTCACTGTGCACGGCTGCCGCCTTTTGGGGAAGAACACAGCGAGATGACACAAAAGCTCAGTGAATTACGACAGACATTCCAGCATGCTGAAAGAAAGTCCAGCTTTGCCATAGAGCAGCTAAAACCATGGCCCTCCCCCCAAAAAACAAAACCAAAAACCTGACTGAAGTAACACTGTGGCTGCTCAGAGCTTTACAGCAGACACAGCGGAAACCCAGCCTCAGCCAGCACGCGATTCAGACATCACGACACCCACAGAGCACCACACTCGGAATGCCTTCTGAAGTCTTCTGAGCAATGTAAGCACGTGTGTATGTTCTGCAAGGCATTCGTCACACAGCATGCTGGCATTAACAGGCTGTTTGCTCACAGACTTCGCCTACATACTTTGGTAAAGTGTTTTTTCCCGCACAATTTTACATACTATGGAGAATTCTGAAATACAGGATTTACCAACATTAAGTTCTACTAGTTTTGACTGCCATTCATGAGGCCCTTCCCTCTGTCCATCAGGAGTTCTGTACCGACCCGGGGCTATTTACTTCTTAGTTCTGCTACTTACACCAGTTTTCCTCAGCACCCATCCTAAACATTTACCTTCATAATTCTGGCTAGTAAGTTCAGCCACTGCACTTGGAAACAGGAAAATCCTGGCACAGTAATCAACTCATCCAAACTAGTATTATTTTACTCATTTGCAGTACATACTTACTGCCAGGAACATTTAAAAACAAGCAACAGCCCCCACCCTTCTCTAGCACCCCTTTTTGTTCAACACCCCTGCTTGTTTCCATGTAGCACATACCTGAAGTGCTACCTCACATACCACATCCCAGCCTCCAGACGGTACGTATGAACTAGAAGGTGGCAGCAGATATGTTTTATCCGGTATGATCACAGTCCTTCTAGAATTAGTTCTATTTTAATTCTCACTACCAGTTTAGACCATAAGAGAGGTGTGAGCCTCAAAGCTAAAAGTCTGCACGATGCAAACAGTCTTTATTTGGTTTTCTCTGTTTCTGGAAGCACCATTTGCTCCATAATTCTGTTTTTAGTATTATTTATTTTATTTAGCACTATATACCAAAGCTGGAAATTCTTCTTTCATTCAGGCCAAATTTACTCACAGCAAGGTCATGATCTCAATTTCGGCAGTAGTTCTGTCAGCCTGAACTCATTTCTTTGGTTACTCCATCAGGTTATGTGTTGAATGTTAAAAGCATGCACATTTCACACAAAAACTTGGAATTACCCTCTGACTTAATCTTCAAAATAAATTCGCACTTTGCTATCCAAACAAACTTGCACAGCTTACTCTTCTAGCTGCAGAACTGCACACGTGCTGTAATTTCAACATTGTGTGCTCATCTCAATATATCTGCAACTCAGTATCGGTTACAACTGCCACCATGTTATGCTCACAAAAACAATCAAGCCAAAAAGAAAACACGGTAAGAAACTGAGAAACAGAGAAAGAAAGATACAACTAACAAAGTAAAATATGCATAAGATCTGTCTCTATAAAGAAAAGTAGAGGAATTAATAGGCAGGTTCACCATGCTAAGCCATTCTACTGAGGCTGTACAGATCATAAAGGGATCTGATTCTTTCAGCCTTTTCCTCCCTACAATAGCATTTCTTTCACCTAAGGGCTGATTTTCATTTCTCCCTTTTATCTTTCTCCCCGGATCACAGAAGCTTACCAGCTTTGGGGCTTCGTGCACCCTGTCAGATCTGACAGACCAGAAACAAGATTCCAAAATCACTGTAAGCAAGGCCCAACCTCTGGTACCATAAAGAACTACTATGAAAATAAGTTAAAATACAATTAAAACAACCAAACAACTTCATCATGTTTTTGTAACTGCAATGGTCAAACATCAGTCTGTCAATAACAGAACCATACCTCTGTTTTCTTCCTCTCTGTTGACGGGGTGGATCTTCCTGAGGGTATCTGAACATGTCCTGAAAAATGGGCTCATACTTCTTAAAAATTACTGCAGAGACTGTAAAGTTTCTCTCCAGTCTTTCAGTCCTTTCTCGGAACTGGGAGGGTAGGTTTGCCATGTCTTCCCATTTCTTCATCTTGTTAAAAAACTCAATCAAGCTGAAGATATCAAACAGATTAGTTCTCAGAGGGTTGGCTGTTTGCTTCTGTTTTCACCTTGTTTTGCAGAAACGTGCTCTATGTATATTTACTTACAGCAAAAGTACAACTTATACTTTCCAAACTACTGATAAAAGCAACATTGCAAACATGACAGTAACAGTTTTAAGTGCTCAGAGCCAGCTCCTCATTTACAAACAAGAGCTGAGACAACTCACAGCACGCTGCCAGCCCCTGCTGATGACTGCGTTAACTCTATGTTGTGGTTCTTGGCTTTCTCACAAGGACAAACCAGCTCTCCAGCAGCCCGGTTACTATAAAGTCAGATTCCTGAATAAGTAACTTAAGTGAAATAAAATCTGAACTCTGCCGAACACTAAAAAGACTCTGCAAAGTGTGAAAAAACAAAGGAAGTGTACCAACAACGTGTAAAGTTGGCTTACACTGCTTTTCTACCCATATTTTTTTCAACTTTATCAGTCTTTCGTAACCCAAAATGCAGAAACTGTTCCGCTGTACTCAGTTCCTCGAACCTCCAATTAGCAAAGAAATATTTTAAAAGTAACTCTTTAGATTGTTTCAACAAACAGCAGCACTCCAACAGTAAGGGGAAGAGAACTCCATGTTCATATGAACATTCCAGTTTCTGACAATCTGATGAATTGCTACCACACAACCATACTGCTGTCATCAGTTTCAGGAAGTTTTTCTTCATCATTCAATGGAAAAAATCATAGAATCATAGAATGGCTTAGGTTGAAAAGGACCACAATGATCATCTAGTTTCAGCCCCCCTGCAGGGTTGCCAACCACCAGACCAGGCTGCCCACAGCAATCAATCATTTGATAAAAGTTCATCAGAATCCAGCATTACTTTTGTTTCATAAAAGACTAAAGGACAAAAAGTGAAATCTTCTCACCAAAATGAGAAATATTACATTTTCAGAGCCAATTAAAAGCATCTATCCACATGAGAAACCCACACTTTGTACACTCTTCAGAAGCAGACTGTTCTTCATGGGTCACCTTCTCTCACTTTTGAGCATAGGAACTCTCCAATTTTTCTCTCAGAGATTGGTCAGACACTGGAATGGCTGCCCAGGGAGGTGGTGGAGTCGCCATCCCTGTTCAAGAAGTGTCTGGGTGCGGAGCTACGAGATACAGTTCAGGGGCCTGTGGTAGCAATGGTGATGGGAGGACGGTTGGACAAGATGATCTTGTAGGCCCTTTGTAACTTTACTATTCTGTGATTCTATGAATTTTAGAACTCATGAATAAAAAACTACCCTACCTGTGTGGCAATAAGCTACAGCACACAGATCCCTGCAGTATAAATTCTATGTCTAACAAGGACATCCGGACTTTGTTCTTAATTTCTACATTCTTCAAGGTGCTTTAAATTGGCTGAACTGAGTTACCTTTGTTCGGAGCAGCGCAAAATGCGGGTCAGGGATACATAATTACCCTCAACCGTCCCCCTGCTGACGGTCGGGATGGCTTTCCTACAGGCCACGTAGAGGGCACACGCCAACCAGTGCAGCTCATTGCCCTGTGAAGCAGAACGCAATGCACGTCAAGCCCCCTCTGAGCTGCCGGCACCTGCAGCTCTGCACCCTGCACCAAGACATGGAGACAGTGCCACAGATGGGATGCGCTGCACGAGCAGCACCATTTTTGTTCTGAAATCCCTACAGCTGTGCCGTGCTTTCAGCTACCAGAAGAGCACCCAGAGGTCGGCACGGCGCCAAGCAGCAGTGAGAGCAGTGAGGTAGGCAGGAAATGACCCCACTGCCCCACGGATCGGCCGTGAGGTGACGGGGCTCTGTACCAGTTCGGTGTATAGAGAAGACGTAAATAACGACAGCCACCGCTCCATTTCATCTAAACGTCCTTCTGCCCTCGTCTGTGGGACGGCACAAGCACGGTTCCCACGTTTCTCTCTCACACACAACGGTCGCTAAGCTCGGCGGCTGACCGCACGAGCCGATCCCAACCGAGCCGTGCCCGACCCGACCCCTCACTGAGAACAACGCCATCCCGGCGCTCCCCCATCGGCCGCCTCACGCTCCCGCCCCGCCCCGCCGCCCCGCCCTGCTGCCCCTCAGCGGCCGCGCGTGGCGGCACGAGGCCGTTACCCCGACCCCCTCCTCCCCAGCCATACGCACGGCGGGCCGCGCTCCCTCAGCGCTGTGAGGTGATGCCGCCCCCCGCCCTCAGCCCCGCCGCCCGGCCCCGCGCGCACCTCTAGCGTGTAGTTGCGCTTCATGCTCTGGTAGCTGAGCCAGGCCTCGGAGCGGGCGCGCTCGTCCATGTTGAGGCTGCTGCAGAGTTCCTCGTAGCGCTGCCGCGTGTCCCCTTCCTCTGCCGGCGGGGACGGGGCGGCGGGGATCGCCCCTCCGGCCCCCGGCTCGGCCTCGGCCTCCTCCCCGCCCGACATCCCGCGCCCCGGCGCTAGGGGGCAGCGCGCCCGCCGCTCACTGCGCCTGCGCCGCCGCCCCTGGGGCTCGCGACGCGCGTTCGAATCCAAACACCCCGGCGCCGAGCCACGCCCCCGCCCTCCGCCGAGCCGCCGCCTCTGATTGGATGGCGAGAAGAAGCCCGACCCGTCCGCTTTGCGGCCTTGCGCAGGCGCAGCGCGCTCACAGACGTCACTACTCCGCGACGGCGCGACCTATGACCCCGATCCCAGGGTGCACCGCGGCCTGCAGCGTCAATACGGCGGCGTCAGCAGGGCGGGACGCGGAATGGCGGCGGGGCCGGGGAAGTTAGCGGGGCAGCGGGAGCCCAGGACACAGCCGAGTGCCTAGATAAGGGGCAGAATTACCGCACGAAATCAGTGAGTATAACAGAACAGTGCTAGTGAACAAGCACACGACACACTACATTTGAAATAAAAGCAAGCGACATATATTTGAGTTGTACAAGTTCAGACCACCAAATAAGAACAGCAGCTTGAAAAAGGTCCGAGTAGTGCGAAAGCAAACAGCTGCACGGGAAGATGCACGTGTAGGGCCGCAGTGATGGCAGCTCCTACAGCAAACACCCAACAGCAGGGCTGTCCCCAGAAGCACCTGAAGGGCTGGGTCAGCCCTCAGCGGGTACTTGGAATACAGACACCCCTCAGACACCGTACTGAGTCACTGACAATGCCTGTTGGCCTTTCTACTACCACCATTCCAAAACCAACAATAATGAGTGTTTCAGAGAGGGGGAAAAAGAAAGAACAAGGCTCTAGCTTGAGGATTTGACACATTGTCACACAGCTGGGAGCACCAATGGCAACAAGAACTGTGAACACCACTGGTGTCTTGAGTACACAAGGTGAATGATGAAAGCAGTAGGTTTTTTTTTTGTTTGTTTGTTTTTTTGAATGTTAATTGCTTGAATCACTTTCACAACAGGATTCCATTTTACTTCTACCCTGGTAATTGGATAAGAAGCGATAAATTTTGTACCAAAATGTATGAGAAGTGTAGCAAATATTGAGGCAAAACAACTGTAGTAACAGCACAGGCCCTAACTATGTTGGCCCCAAATAAGAAGTTTCAGTCACCTTCATTAGGAGTGGCTAATGTTGTTTACCTCCTGAGAAATGAGGTGGACTCCCAGATAAGGCTAGATACCAAAGCCCACTGTCCTATTAAGAGAGGTCCAAGATTATACAATCTCAGAAATCTTTGTGTAGGAAGAAACAATATGCATCACGGAAACCTTTCTTCCAGTATTCTCCTTGGGATCTTCCCGGTGCATTCTCCTGATACTTCTGATGCCTTTTTGCCAACTTGCAAAACTTTACCAGGAATCTTCCAATACTTGCTATTTCACTATCAGCCTCAGTGGACGAAGACCAGTGATAATGTGAAGATTTCAGCTTCAATCCGAAAAGGAAAAAACATCTTCCCCTCATGACTCTCAGAAACAACACTGAAAAGACAAAATTTCTATTTATTCAGGTCACAATTATTGCCTACGTTTAAAAAAAAAAAAAAAAAAAAAAAAAAAAAAAAAGCATATATGGACAATTCTTTCCTGGGATTAGGAGTTAGAAACCCTCCATTACAGGAGCAGAAAGCTAAGCTCAGACTACCTGCTTTACTTCAGCAGCATAACAGATGAACTAGGATAAAAGTGGAAGAGATAACAATAATTACCAGGTCTGAAGTTGCTTTGAGAATTGGAATGAGCTTGAGGACATGCTGTGAGGTTTTCAATCTTTTTCACCAGTACTAAACACTGTAATCTGACATTAAGATCCCAAATATTTCCCAAATCAGCCTCCCTCACACATAGAAATAGCCTAAGAGTCCTTACCTGAACAGCAATGAGAATTCTGAATTTACTTTCGTTCTTGTGGTGTCTACTGAGAGAGCTTGAAAGGAGGTAGGGTTAAGAAAAAGTAAATAGTTTTCATTGCCTTGTGTAAAAAGTGCTCCTGCTTCTTTGTGAACAGAAATGCTGCAGTTAATCTTAAGCAGATGGTTTTGTTGTTTTAAAGATATGTGAATATTAGCTAACTTACCCCTTACATGAGAATACGTAACATGTTTACGAGACCAAATTCGAAATTGAGATATTCACATTTACATATTTCTCAGTTTTGAGGCTTCTACTATACTATATTTTATGGAAAAATTTCCCTAACCCTTTGTACTTATTTCAATTAGATGTTCTTAAAATACTGAGCTAAAAATAATCAAAATACCATTCATTGCTTCCAGCAGGCTAGAATTTCAGCAGTAATAAATATAATTTACTGACACCACTAAGTTATAATACATTTCAACACCCTTCCTTTATGTAAATAGTTATGACTTTAAATGATAGCTCAAACGTTGCTAAAATCTAGAATTACTATTATTAACTAAAAGCTAGGAAAAGCTCTCTTCAGTAAGAAGTTCCCATTTACTACTCACAAATTTGATCTAATTAAGCAACAGAAATTTAACAGGCTCTATCATCTCTTTCTTCTCAAAGGCTTATGCAGAAACTTCCTACTTGTACCACAGGAGAAAAAGCTGCACAAACCCTAAGAAGTTAACAAAGCAAACATACATATCTGTTAGGATGGCTGCCTCTGCACTAGCACTTACAGATATATACACACAGCTAAATAAATCACTAAATAAATCATATACATATATATTTAAATCTGTGACAGTTGTCTGATAGACCTGCTAAAAACAAATGAAAAAACAATTTTGTTAGGTGTTCTGCAGGGCTTTTAAGGAGAACATAAATGAGGAAGAACATAAGAACAGGGCACATATACACACGTGCATTTTTATCACCTGCATGCAAGTTTGAGAAAGGAAGGACTTATAAAGAAACACATAAGAAGGATACCACAATTGAAGCGCAAGGATGTACTGAAAACAACAGCAGATAATGACAACCAGGAGATAATCTGCATTCGGGGGAAGCATCCACACCCTGTATGAAATAAATGACAAGCAGTAAGTGCTGTGCCCAAACTTAGATTCAATAAACACGTAAAAAAGTAAAGCAGAGTTTTGAAAATAAAAACACAAAAAGGAAGTCCACTTCCAGAATGCTTACCCTGGAACATTACATGCATCATTATTTCATATCAAGTCAACATTCTACCAGAACCATGACTGTACACTACTCCCTCGCCACAACTACCCAAGAGCTGCAGCATCAGCTCCTTTTGCTTCTAAAACAACAGAATTACAGGAAATTGATTGAAACTGATTCCCAGAAAAGATACTCAAAGTAAAACATATTGTTTTGCAGAAAAATAGACATCCTAGGCTTGACTTTTTTAAGGTCTTGAGAGTAACTTCTGTTCTAGACCTTAACACCGAAACTTAACTTTAGCTGCTCAAAGATGCATATCTAATCCTTACACAGCATTATTTTTTACATATTGAGGCTGACATCATGGGTAGTCAAAGAATATGTTTAATAAAAAATAATTAAACTTCCATTTGCTCTATAGAACATCATAGAAAGTAATTCAATAAATTACAAATGACTTTTTAAGACGCTTGTTCAACTACAGAAAGCAAATTCAGACTACACAGAACACAACTGGCAAATATTGCAAATGTCCAAAAGAAAAACTGGACTAAGACTTGGATCATGAAGCTTGAAACAAGGGATAGAAATACAAGGCAATAACAGCTAAGGTTCTTTTAGTAACTACCAACACACACTTTATCATCACCTTGGATATCCTTTTAATCTTAACTTCAGTATTAGTGTAATTCTACTGAGGTTTCCTTATAACCCTTAACTTTATACAACCGTTTTTGCATATAGTCTAGCTGACAGTGGGACATTTTTCCCCTTCTGGTTCAAACTGATGAAAAATAAACCCAATATATTATGTTCAAGTCTACACCAGCCTTCATTACTTGGAACTATAATTGCCTTATTACATAGAAAGAATCACTAGAATGGTAACCAAACTCACTTGAGCATAATTAGGAAAATACTTTATTTCATAAATCTGATATAAATTAGGTTTTAGCCACAAGATTTAAGATTTCTTTTGTGGGGTAAGGGTGGAAGCGATGGTATTGTTGATGTGCTCCATCAGCAAACTAAGTTAACAACTGTTTGTAAAACTTTGGCTATTTCATAGATCATCCTAGTTAAATAAAAGTGCTATATTACAAAGGGCAAAGTATTAAATATGCAATACTTTTTTTTTTTCCCCCACAACGAAGAATTGCTACCCCCTTCTCTTGGCAGTTTTGAATTTTCACTATTGCTAAGACACTGCATGAAGGGCCAAAAATCAGAATACTATTTGGGAAAATAGGTAACCGGCACAATCCAAATGGTACTTGTAAAACTGTGTATTACATGTAACACTGCTTCTAATCGTGGGGTTATTTCGCACATACAAACTTAGATTTCATTGGTAAAGTTCTTGGTAGAAAAAAAAAAAAAACAAACAACACAGTTGTTTTACTGTACAAGCAAGCAACAGAACTATATCAAAATATACAGTTTTGCTTTTATTTTTAAAGTTATCCCTTTGTAAAGCTTTTTCAATGACTCCTACTAGTACCTGTATCTGTTTTCTCTTAACACTTGCCTGTTCTTGGATCGCAAATGCTGTAACAAGGGTCAATTGAAATCTCAGTCAGTTCAGAACTTCTGTAAATGTGAATCTGGGCCTCTACTGTGTCACAGTAATAGCAGCTTAAAAAGAAGGAGGAATCAGATCACACATCAAATATTAGACAGATTTTATATAGTAAAGGGTTTTAAGGTTTTGGACTTAAACAGATGCCTTATGCCCTGTTACTGTGGTTTCTAGGAATAATTTGTCTTCCTTACTATTCAAAGTGCTTTTTTTTTTAGTGGGTAACTCAGCATAACATATGAAGTGATATCCCAATAATGATTTGGGGTAATATTTAATATTTAGTCAGATTTAAATCTGCAGAGAAGTTTAAACTCAAAAGGAGTTCAAAACTATCTATACTTAATTTACCATTATTAACTGGTAACTCCAGGAGGTTTTATGACATAAAACACAAATAGAAATCTACACAAACAAAGCAAACAAACAATTTTTACATGAAGTATGCAGTGTTGAAAGGTCTTTTCAGTGGCACTTATGACAGTTTGCCTCTTCTGAGTCTTGGGGCAACTACTCCTCATTTTGGGACTTCTAATTCTGCAGAGGGAGCCCAAAACTTTGCAAGGTGTAAACTAAATAGATCTACATGGTGCCAGGTAGCATGAGATAAGACCATTTTTGGTTTGATTTCCCCTTACTGCTGTCAAAGAGAACAGGTCACAGTGAGGGGAAAAAAAACCCACTAACAGTCCTATCTCAACTCAGATTTTAACATGATATACAAGATGTCTTTAGAAAACAAAACAAAACCTGAAAACAAGTAATAGAAACCAATGTAAACTTCCTAAACTAACTCAGCTGAGGTAACAGGTAGCCAGTTTAATTGGCTGATTGGGAAAAATTTATCTTCTTTTAAACACACTTGTACCTGAATTGGAAACAGCAGTGCATCACAACACTAGAGCATTTTCATGTAATTAAAGCAATGGATGGTGATGTAGATTCTACAGCTTTCATGACATTCATTAGCTGCCCAAATTATTGCTGAGTTTTGATCTGTAAATTATAAGTGTCAAGGAGGCTGTAAAACTATATTCAAATTAAATCAATAATATGCATAAAGTATTCTGTGTTCACTGCAAATATATTAAATATACAGCTCTTTCTTGAGCATTATTTTCATAAAATTAACCCCCCAACAAAATTATAATGCCTTTTGTTGTAATTTTACACCATTGTGTATTTGATAGTACATACAAGTTCAGAAACTTATGAACTTCAGGAAATATTACATGCAAAACGTCTCTGAAAGCAGTTTGCACTTCTAAACAAATACTGAAATGTTCGGTCAGTAAATCATTGATGCACTCAACACTGGGTTATTTACAATGAAATAATTAAAGAATAAATTCAAAATCAGTTCATAATTTAAGTGCAGAGTCTGGGGTCAGTCTTCATCACTAGAATCTGAATCTTCAGATGAAGACGATGTACTATCAGATCCAGATGAAGCATCTGCTTTCTCTGAACCTTCATCTGTGCTGTTTTCATTGTGAGAGCTTGGCTCTGTTCCCCCTTTGTCTTCCTGATCTCTAACCCGAGAATTTTCCTCCTTTTCTTCCGTAGGCTTGGCTGAGCCCGTGTCATTACTTTCACTGTTCTGTACATCAAAAATATTAGACTGAGACAAAGCTGGGATATGAAGATTAAGGCCTGGAGTGAGAAGCATCCCTGGATAAAGTATGTTGGACAAAAGTAATGGGTTAAGAGAGAGAGGATTGGCAGCTGCAGCAGCAGAGGATGTTGAAGGAGAGCTTGAAACAGAGTTTTCACCACCAGTATCTGCATTTTGGTCTTCTGTCCTTTCTTTCTTTATATCCGCCTCTTTCAAATCACTTCCCTTTTTATCCTCTGAAATAGATTCTGTAGACTTTGTCAGAAGTCCTCCCATGCCCAGCAAGTTTGGTAATCCAGCCATCCCTGACAGCAGCATGGGGAACATGGCAGCCATGTTCTTAGCTTCTCCTCCAGTAGTTAAGCCAGCTGGCATTCCCATCAATCCTGCCGTTACTTGCAGTGACTGCAGGTTTTGCAGGTTTTGTTGTAAGGCCTGAAGACTAGACAGATCCACTCCTGGAAGCAATCCGTTGGTGAGCAGAGGGTTAACTGATACACTTGCAGCAGTGGCAGCAGCTGCAGCTGCTGTTGCCTTAGCAATCTCACTTTTGGGGCGCCTTCCCCTCCGGCTTACTTCTTCCCGCACAACAGGCCCGGTGAGAATACGGTCAAACATACCTTCTGGAAGAAATCCCTGCAAGAGATGCAGTGTGAATTTTTAGTAATTTGAAAGCGTAAGGTTGTCGAAGTTAAAGAAAAACAGCCCACAAAAACCAAGCACATGCTAAGTGTCAAAGAATTTTCTTGTGGTTAGCAAAGCAGCTTCATCTCTAGACTGGGATTGGAGGTGGCTCTGTGCTACCACCAACATTTAAAGTCCCAGTTCAACAGTGGGAAGAAAGGAGGCACCTTTTCAGACACACTGCTTACTCAACACCTGAGGATTACATCCAGATCAAATCACATATAGCTAATCAGAGGAGCAGTCTTAGGTTAAGATCTAAAGCGTGGCATTGCTTTGCAGTCGGATCACGTTCCAATCATCTCTTTTGCCACTGCTTCATTAAAAAAGTGCTTGTTGCTGCTTAATGTCTTCATACTTCACCTTATCCGTTAACTCAAGAATGAACAATAGAGACTCAAGTGCAATTCTATTAAAATGAAATTCAGATAGCTTCTTTTTAGGATTTCATAGTATTTACCTCACCTCCGTATGCCCTCCTTATGTAAGCACTGCATAAACATGTATTATTTCCTCTGTAGCAGTTTTCCATATTTGTCCCTAACAATTGATTGAAAATGAAAAATGAATACGGGAACAGATTTGTTTATATGTCTACGGTTGCATGGCCTAAGACTTAACATTCAGCTGCACAGTTATTTGACCTAGGCAAACATGCAGAAATTCTGTCCGTAAATGCACACATTTCTGTAAGCTCTATGTTAACCATGGTCTGAATGTAACACTGTGCATGTACAAATATGCATAGAAGCTCATATCTGCCTACAAACGTGAGACACTTAGATGCACTTTTTTCAAGCATCTGGGAAAAAGCCACTTACTGAATACATCTTGCTGCTAGCAAGAAAGTTGGGTGGGACAACCAAGCAGTATGCTGCTCTTACCACTAACCGCTGATAATCCATACGGAAGGAATGCGTGGCCAAAACTGAAGTTGTTGTAAAGACCTACTCCTAACAGCATATTCACATATTAACCTTGGTTCCTCCTACTGGAATCCCAGCATTAGTTTCTAGCTAA